AATAAAGGCAGGCCGGGTCCCCAATCAATAGTCTTGTTGGCGTGTCCATGGTAGCTGGCGTGTGGCCCGGCTGTGGGGCCTGGGAGCCCCGATTCCCGTGCACTCGTGTGGGCGTATGTTGGCCAAGCACACGTTCGGCGTTTACGTTCAGCAGGAAAAACAGTCTTTTAAAATGTCAAGATGTGAAGAAAAGCCGTCCATGGGCGCTGCTGGCACGGGGAGCCCAGGGTCTTCATTGATTTTGATATTCTAACAGGCGTCCTCAAAGTACGGCCCGCGGGCCACATGCGGGTGTTTTTACCCGTTTGTTCTTTTACTTCAAAATAAGATATGTGCAGTGTGCATAGGAATTTGTTCATAATTTTTTTAAAACTATAGTCCGGCCCTCCAACGGTCTGAGGGACGGTGAACCCACCCCCTATTTAAAAAGTTTGAGGACCTCTGAATAAAGACCCTTCCCCAGACAGGCAGTAGGAAGTGCTTGCCGGCACCGTGACATTGGGAGAGCGACCCCCTTCCCACGTCGCTACAAAACCAATGGAGTGTCCCACCTGCCTCCTTTCTACAAATGTTGTGAGATGAGAGGAGACCCAGGGTGCTGTAAGTGAAATTCGTAAGCTTTGTGACATGTTTGCTCATGAATTTTTCTGTTTGTTTTGGATTCCGCATCTTGGTTGAGTCGGGAAACAGAGAGTGGTATGTTTAGTAAATTTTCCGGGATTCTGAAGAGAAAACCAGCCTGAGTATTGGCACATTGAGTTTGCAGAGGCAGAGGGCGAGGGGCCTCGTGGCAGGGTGCCAGCGTGCTGGTTTTGCTGGAAGGAACGGTACCGTTAAAGGGGAGAAATTAAATTGCAGCAAGACTCAGAGGGGTCTGGCCACAAGCAAGGGTTGTAGCGTGTTCTGTAGACTTCCCTGAGACGCCAGGGGCCTTTGATCATGTGAAATGGCATGATGTTGCAACATTGGAGGTTGGATTTTCTAAGAGAGATTCAGCCATGTTCAGTCTCTTACTCAGAATCCTTCTCTGGCTTCCCAACAGTATGCCACACATGGGTGGCATGTGCCAAAATAGTCATCCCCTCAACCACGGGGGCACTTGCATTGGGCCTGGGGCAGCCGGAACCCCTGGATCAGCCCTTCCAGCCACAAGCAGCTTATTCTGTTAACCCCGATGGGTCATCTGTGTGGAAAATGGCGTGAAGATGGTTGGAAAGCACCTGTTTTGCATAGATTCAAGGCTATTCTGATCCGTTGCCTGCTTTCCTGTTCAGGCCCAGGTCCTGGCATTTGCCAAAGCATTCGATCGAAACCAGCTGGCCATCGCCCACGCTACTTCTTGCCACGCTGTCTTGCCACCCAGTCTTGCCACGCTGTCTCCTGCCTTCATGCCTCTGTCCCTGTTCTTTCCTCAGGTGCTCCTTGCTCCCCTGTCTGCCCAGCCAAATGCTAGCTCAGGCCAGCTCAGGCCTCCTGCTGGACTCCCTTCGTAGGCAGTGCACATTCTCGGCGTCTGCCGCCCTCACTTTGAATTATGGCAGTGCGTGTCTTGTACATGTGCTCATCATTGTGTTTCCATAAAAGGGCCTGGCAAAGATTGCATATTACACTACCAGTAAATATATGCTGAATTAATATTTTGAAGAAGGCCCATTCTATTGGGGAAAGTAGGGAAGAAAAAGAAGTACAAGTCTGTTTCTATTAGTTCACGCATGATCGGCGCTCAGTAAATAACTGTTGAATGAATGAATAAAAGAAGAGATGTAAAAGCTGTTTCCAATGTGGAATCCCTGAGACTTAGTAACGGCCTGACTATGAGGAAGGAAGATGGAGTAGTCGAAGATGTTTCGAGACAAGCAGCACCATCAACACAGCTATCCCTGTCCAACTCTGCAAGCTGTACCCTAGCTAAGCTCTCAAGCATGTACCCAGCGAAACATGAATGGTGATAAGGTGTTTGTTGCAGCATTCTAGGAAACAACCAAAATGTCCTTTGGTAAGGGAATGCAAAAATAAATCATAGTATATTTATAAAATGAATGAAGTTCTTACAGGGAATAAACTAGATACTGAAATACTAACATGGTTGAATCTCAAAGACATACCAGTGGGTAAAAAGACAAGTTGGCTTAGGAAATATGTAATACAGAACACAGTAAAAATACCATAGATTTATCATTAAATACATATATAATAAAAATATAAAAACATGCATAGAAATGAAACACAAGCACCACAAGATACTGGCTGCCTCGGAGGAAGAAATGAGATTGAATGAGATGGAGGAACTTTTGATTTATCTGTAACATTTTATTTTTTTTTTAACAGCAAATGTGACGATCCGTTAGCATCTATTACATCTGGGTGGTAGGCATTATATTGGTTTTTGTAATCTTCTGTTGGTTTGAAATAGTTTATAATTTTTAAAAATTAAATTGAAATCACACAAAAGGAAAGGTTGGCTAGCTGGGAGAATGGTCTTGCATTTCTGCATTTAGTCTGTCGTTTTAGACATCCCCACTTTTCAGGGAGCCTGACAAATGATGCTGAATCACATCTGCCACTTGGGACTCGCCAAGTCTTAACGCCACTTAAAAGCAACTGTTCTCAGCTCCGTCTCCAAAGCCTGATAGATCTACCACGGACCTCTCTAGAGGCTTCAAAATGTGCCTTACTATCTTTGATCATTTATTTACAGCTTGCATCCCCCCTCCATTTTTACTCTGTATTGGAGCATCCATCCAACCTAATTAGAACTAGTTTTGTGCAATAAGATTTAATGAAATTCTTTCACATGTTTGACTGGAATCTATTTTCTTGAATCAGTCACCAGTGACTTACACCACTGTACTCTCTGGGTTTATAACTTTGTAAATGTTTCTTTTCCCTTCTCCCCAAAAGAAGCAATGATATGTTTGTAGTGAGTGTTACCATTCCTAAAACTGTCTCCATATGTGGGGAACAGTTTCATCTATGAGTTGGAACAAGCATGCACTGGCTCCAGGGGAACAGTTGAGTCCCTTTCTCCCCAACTTACTGTTCAATGTCATCACATTGCTAGCTTGAAATTAGCCATGATGGGAGTACTTACACCATGGCAATTGGCAGATACTACGTTTTTGTTTTTCCCCAGGAGAGCTGGTATTTAAACATTACCAGCCTACCACAAGAGGGGATGAGAAACCCAGAACCAAAAAAGAAGCCTTGGCCTGAGCCCCATGGCTCCAGAGCAATAGTGCTGGGTCCATGTGATTCGCTTGCTTTGGAGTCAGGCAGATCTGAGTTTGAGTCTGGCATAGCTACTTTTGAAGTGTGAATTGGACAAGTGTCTGACTTAGCCCTTCAGTTTTCTCACCTATAAAATAAAGATGACAAAATCTATCTTTTAGACATCTTGAGATCGTTAAAGAAAATGATACATGCAAAAAAAAAAAAAAACCTAACAAAGCACAAAGGAGATGTGCAAGAGATGTAGTTTGCCCTTGTGACTTACAAGTTCAGATCTCTGTGCATTATCCCATTCTTCTCATTACCATTTATATACTTTATTTTTTTTATTTCAACTCTACCTGAGCAAACACCCTTCACTAAATGGTGAATATACTTTTTCTTCAAATAGGTACAACTGGAATAAGTGAAAAGTCTTAGAGTTGACATTTATGTGTAATTTGGGGAAATCTATTTCTTTCCTACAATTTTAGAAATGCATGTACTAGGTATCAGCTGAGATCATTTTTCAACTGCCCGGAGTTTTCTCCACTGACCATTCTGCTGAGCTAAGCATCCTGAAGAGGATTGGTTTGGGGACCCATGGGTGCTACAATTCCATCCACCAAATTAACTGCAGTGGCCTGCAGGGAAATTCTCTTGGCTTTCTATGTTCTGTGCTCTGTGAGGGTTTTTTTTTTTTTTTTTTTTTTTTTTTTGCACAGTCTAACTGACCTGGTGGTAGATAGCTACTTCTGAGCCATTCAGCTAAGTCAAAATGTGCGTTCCTTTTTAGATTTTAATTAATTAATTTTTTTGCCTGGGTAATGCCTTTAGTTGTTTTAACACTTTTAAAGATACAAAAGCATTTGTACAATGAGAATTTCCCTCCCATTCACCTCGGTCCCGCTCCACAAAAACTGACAAAAAAAAAAAAAAAGAAGGAACCAACCTCTTATTGCTGGTTTCTTACATGCTTTTGAAGCTCATCTTAAAGGCCCAGTGTGGGCTTTGCCTTTACCATAGCTGAGATAAGTGCCGATTGTGGGTGGGCCAGAGAAGACCCTGTTGACATCGGGAACACTGAGACAGACCCCATGGCTTGTCAGTAATTGCCAAGCAAATTGACAAAGTGGTGCCCAGAATAAAGTCACAGAGGAGCTAATTTTTATCTGTAAAGATAAACAAAATTTATATGCTACAAATTCCATCTGTCAGCTAACCTTAGGTAGGTTGTTGTACCTCTGGGGAAAAGCATAGGAGAAACCGTAATGTTTATAAGAAATGTACTAAGTATCAGGGGCAGAGCTAAGATCTTTATTTCATCACTGTGGTCAACATAACATAAATTTACCATTTTGACCATATTTGTGTGTACACGTAAGTGGCATCGAGTCCACTCACATTGTTGTGCAAACCTCACCACCATACCATCTGCAGCAAAAGCACTAGGCTCTTCCTGCTCATCTCATTCCTTACAGCAGCCCTTTGAGGTCCGTGTCACTCTTCTCCATACGACAAGGACGTCCAGACAAATGGTCTAAAGTCTCATGCCAAGTAACTGGCAGAGCCTAGGCTTGGACCCAGGTATTTTCATCTCCAGCACGTGTGCCCCATATGGTGAGGTCTCACTGGGAAAACTTCCAGAGGGAAGACTTCTCTGCAGCAATGCTTGGGACTCTTCTCTGCACAGCACGTTGTCCCCGAGAGGCTGTGGCCGTGTCGTGGACAGGTGTGCCTGGCTTTCTGCCTTACTGTTGCTTTTCGCTCCTCTCTCCTACGCCGCTGCCCAGGGGTGATCCTGCTGCTTCTGGACAAGCTGCGGAAGATGAAGTGGGAGCAGATGTGGAGGCTGACCGCGGAGAGGGAGCTCATGGGCATGCTGTCCACGTCCTTGGCCGACCAGGTGAGTGGCCACCGTAGAAGGTGCACGTGTTCCCGAGCACTCTGGGGCTGTTTCCCAAAGGCACTTAAAAGGAGATGAGTCTGCCTTGTTTTTCTACCTATTGTGTGACTCTGTACACTTGAGTAGAGCTGCCTTTTAAGCCAAGCCTTTTGCTTAGATCCTATACTAGTGGCCCTGTATGCATTTAAATGCATTTAAACAGAAAGGACAAACCACCTGGCTTTAGAAACCACCTTCTTTTCCAGGTAGTCTGAAAAAGTTCTTGAACTCCACCAAACTATTAACCAGTATTGATTTTAAAAAGCCCCATTTCTCACTTTGACTAGGAAAGGCAAGCGGGCTCAAATCTTGACCCTGGATCTACCAGGATCATCATTTAGATTTTGATATCCCTGTGGTATTGGTGGCCATCTGGAGACGCTAAGATGACATATGGGTTTTCTGCAATTCGTCCTTTTCATCCAAAGAGCGAGCTCAGTCTGCACGTTTTTGTTTAGTGTTCAAGGCCCTGGTTCGTTGAATTCCTGCAAAGTTTTCTAACACAAAGGAAACAAGAACTACTGTAAGGTTATTTTGCTGTTTTGGTTTTTTTTTTTTAAGCATTATTATTCTGTATTTCCCAAGCAGCCAGAAACTGAATTGCTTTTTCAACCATGAGATACAGCATAATGAATGAGTTAAAAAAAAAAATAAAATAAAAAAAATTCCCAGGTAGCTATTTTAAACCGGAGGGGAAAACTGCCTGCCATCCTCATCTTTTAAGTCAGGCCACAATGACTTGAGCACGTCCCCAAAAGCTAGCAATTCTATGTCCACGTCCAGTGGGGATAGATTATTCAGCCGTCTCCTGCCGAGAAGGCCCGTAACTCACCCCCTGGCACCGCCTGTCGGCAGCTAGTTAATGAGTATGGGCTGGTGCAAGAGCTTGGAGAAGAGCCCCAAAGAGGTGAAACCTCCCTAGACAAGTCAAAGTTGGCTTTCGAAATGGAGAATGCGTATTGTGGGCACCAAGGCCTGCAGGAATCCAAGGAGCATCCATCACTGAGCCCACCAAAAGCCCCGGGAAGCGCTGCTGAAGGGGAGGATCTATCATTTGTCTCAGCCCCTGAATTAGCAGGGTGACTTGTCATCACGCAGATTCCTCTCCAGGAGCTCAGGATGGATGACACTGGTTCCCGCATAGGATGGCAAGAGGGGAAGGAAAGAGACCTCATTTATTATGTGCCCACTCGGGTAGAGAACTCGCTCCCCGTGCGCCCCACGTGAGCTGGCTGGATAGCGCTTTAGAAGGCCGGCAGGACCCTTGAGCTTCCAGTCAGCCTGGGCCATTCGCCCTTCCCTGTCCAAGCATTATCTCTGGGTTCCCAGAGATTACCAGCAGGACAAATGCCCTCCGGTGCGAGCCAGCTTGTGCTCAAAGCAGGGGGCTCAAGAGAGGTCCTTTCGTGGGGACAGGGTGGGTGCCTTGGGAGCCGTCACTGTGAGCTGAACCTACCTGATTGTCTTGGCTGTGTCTTTGGCTTTTGTCCCCAGGATATTTTCAACGCTGTCATCAAACAAAACCCCTTCCTTGTGTACCAGCTCCCCTGCTTCTGGAACGTGCAGCTGTCGGACCACACCCGCTCCGAGCAGTGCTACAGAGACGTGTCTGATCTAAAGGTAGGGTCGCGACAAGCCACGCTGGGCTGCAGGGCACATCTGCAGAGGCGGAATAAGGTGCCCACACTTGGCAGAGAGAAGCTGAGCCGGGGGAGCCCCCGGAGCACGATGGCTAGAGTGCATGCGGTGGGAGAGGTGTGGGCACAGGAGAGCCTGTATCTTCTTTGTCCCCACCCTTATCTCAGCTTTCTGGAAAGCCTGAAGCCCCCTGGCGTAAGAACCGCCTTGTCTGGTTAGTCTGCTGCTGGTTCAGGTCAGCTCTCCAAAGCCATTTATTTCATTCAAGCAAAAACATGCCTTGAGGGCCTACTCTGTGCTCGGTGCTGCAGAAGTGGAAGTTAGCAGATAACTAACAACCTGCTTCCAAGTCATTCATGGCTTAGAAGAGAGAAATGGGTAAGGAAATAGGTTTAAAAGAAAATAATAGGTGCCATGACAGGTGTTGGGGGAGGAGGATGCAAACATAACTGTCTCCTTCTCCCTCGCAGAGAAAGGGTGGTGACGGAAAAGCCCTCACCATTGTTGTCTGGGCACCAAACACAGTGGTAGGACCTGGCCGTAGAAAGATGAAGACGACAGGTGTATCAGTTATCTACTGCCACAGAGAATGCTGCGTAATAAGCTACTGTAATCATGGCCTAAATCAGTGACCATTTATTTAGTTCATGAGTCTACAGGTTGGCTGGAGGGTTCTCTGATCTTTGCTATCTTAACCAAGTGTCTGTAGTCAGTTTCAGACGGGATGGCCAGTGGCAGGGACAACTTGGCTACCCTCCAGTGGGTCTCTGTCTCATCAGCAGGACAGTCCGGGGTGTTCTCAGGGAGAGGCAGAGGTGGCAGAGGAAGCCCTAGAGCAATGGAGGAACTGGAGTTATTGTTGCTAATGTCCCATTGGCTGAAGTCATGATATGGCCGAGCCCGAAGTTAAGGAGTGTGCCAGAATCCCCCAGCTGCCGTGGGTAAAGAATTGAGCACAGCTCTCAAGCAACAGAACAGAGATTTGAACACAGGCCTGTCTGACACTAAGTGCATTTGCCTCTCAGGTTGTTTCAAAGAGGGAACAGATACATATATCCGCAGAGTTTCTTTCACATAAAGTTTATAGTCATGCCGGGTGTGGTGGTTCACGCCTGTAATCCTAGCACTCTGGAAGGCCGAGGCAGTAGGATCACTTGAGGTCAGGAGTTTGAGACCAGCCTAATCAAGAGCAAGACCCTGTCTCTGCTGAAAATAGAAAAAAAGAGTTGGGTGTGGTGGTACGTGCCTATAGTCCCAGCTAGTAAGGAGGCTGAGGCAGTAGGATCGCTTGAGCCCTGGAGTTGGATAGTGCTGTGAGCTTGGCTGACAGCACGGCACTCTTGCCTGGGTGACAGAGTGAGACTGTATCTCAAAAGTAAAATAAAATTTATATTATATTCATTGCCCATGGGGCACTTAAGTAAGAAAAAGGATCCCAAACTCTGCTTTCCTACTAAGTTAGTCTTTTCCAATCAGCTTCTGGTTCATGTCCACATGTGCATATTATGTCTTATTTATAATCATAATGCACCTTGAATGTTTCTTTCTGCGTTTAATTTGTTTATATCATAAGCATTTTCTGGTTTCACCACATGGTGTTAATGAACATCATATCCTATACATCACACCCTTTACTTAGGCACTGCCTTGACCTTAATAGTTTTCAAATTTTCACAAATATAAATTATGTCATAATGAACAGCTTTGTCCATAAAGCACTTTCCTTCTTTGAGAATATTTTTGTGGCTTGCCTTTCCAGAGTGAAATCATAGCATTAAAAATAAAGAACTTGTTTTTACTACACTTGAAATTCATTGCAAAATATTAGTGCTATTTAAAAGAGAAGTGCATCATTCATTCTTTCAACCAAAATGTATGCAGTTCTTTCTATATATCATGTACTTGTTAGATATAAGGAAAACAGACGATACAGACAGAAATATTTCCAAGAATATCATGGTCTAAGAAGTTTGGAGGGGAGGAAAATAAAACCAATCCTATACAGTGAAAGTGCTGTATTGAAAAAAAATTTGAATGGTTTGAAAGCATAACTGCTCCGTCCATGAAGTAAGTAAAGAAAGCAGAGGCCAGAAACAATGAATCCTGAACACAGAATCCTTCTGTGAATCCAGAAGCAAAAGCAAAGAGCAGCTGGATATGCATTTGCCCCTGACTCCTATAAAGTTGCGTTGGTGTTGTAAGAAATACATTGAGTCTTTGTTCCTGGTTCTGGACACAGAGCTCCTAAAACCATTGAAATTTCCCGAGTGATAGAAGTGTCTTTTGTTATTTATATGAGCCCCTTTTGGACCATACCTGAGTTTATGCTCATGAGATGACTTAGGGTAGTGCCTCTAGGTGGCCTCAGGATGGGGCTGATCACCGGAAGATCAAGTGTCTAAGAGTCACTCCGGTTGGAACTTGTAGCCCTACCCACTGACCCCTGGGAAGGGAGTGTGTGCTGGAAATCGGTCTCTGTAAAAGCTCTTGAACAACGGGATTTGATGAGTTTCTGGGTTGGTGAGCAGCCTTGGCACTGGAGGGTGGCTGTCCAGAGAGGACGTGGAAGCTCCACCCCACCCCATGCTTTGCCTGTGCGTCTCTTCTATTTGGCTGTTTCTGAGTTGTAGCTTTTATAATAAATGAGTAAACATAAGTAAAGCATCCCATGGAGTTCTGTGAGCCATTCTAGCAAATTATTGAACTTAAGGAAAGGTTGTGAGAACCTTGGTTTATAGCCGGGGTCAGTCAGAAGTACGGGAAGCCCAGATTTGAAAGTGGCACCTGAAATGGGACAGCCCTGTGGGGACGAACCCTCACCCTGTGGGATCTGGCGCTGTGGTCAGGTAGATAGTTTAGAATTGAACAGAATTGTAGGGCACCCTGTTTGTATTGGAGAACTGATCGGTGTAGAGGAAAAATATCACAACAACACACAAAAAAATCACAACATCTGGCATCAGAAGTGTTCTGTGTGAGAGTGTAGAGAAAGAGTGTTTTTCTCAGTAACTGTATAATTTATTGCGTAAATGAGGGAATGTTATCATGAGTTACACAAGGACAATACACTTAAATCGAAGTTAAGTAAAACATATATATACACACACTTATACACATATATGTGTCATCATTCTGTTCAAATGCTATGTATAGGACTTTGAAAAAAAAAAAACTGTTAGAAGACCCTCCCATAAAGTCTGAATCCATGAAGAGTAATACCCCCAGTATATCAACAGTTAATAAAACTCATAGTATAGAAGACAGTAGAGATTGTTGTGTCTGTATTCATCCTTGGCTTTAGATGGAATGAGGGAGAAATGTTTCCCCTGAGAATATCTCATTTTAAGTCTAAATTTTGGGGGCTAAAATTACATGCATGGTGACAAAAATAGAAAGGAAAAAAATGAAAGTTTGCCAGGCACATGGCAGAAGCAAACACAAATCTGATCTAAAGAACACTCTCAAAAACAAGCCTTCAGAATTGTTTAGGAAAAGTTTCAATGAAAGTGAGTTCTCAATGAGAAATCACTAAACACACAAGCAAATAAGCTACCCTGGGAAAGGGCAGAAGCTGCAAACTATAGAATTAAATCCCAAAGATTGCAGGTATTGAACTCATCAGATATAAAACATACATAAGTATCTTTAGTATGTATAGAAATAGAAAATAATATTGAAAGTGGGATGGAGGAACAGCAGATTCTTACAGACACAGTAGCCATTTGGGATTAAATAGTATTTTTAGAAGTAAGAAATGTAATTATTGAAATTAGAAATTAAATGTTTGTGTTAAGCAGTAAATTAAACCCTTCTGAAGAGAGAATTAGTAAACTAGAAGAGGTATCTGAAGAAATTACACAAAATGCAACACAGAATAACAAAGAGAAAAACTGAGAAATTAAGAAATCAGGATGCGTCTCATCAGACTATCAGAAGGAGATAAAAGAGAAAACTGGAATTGAGGCGTATCTTTGGTGTGCTGAGAGACAGTAACAAGTTGTGTGCCTGGCCAAACGATTTTTCAAGCATGAGAGAGGAATATTCCGAGGAGCAAAATGAAAAAAATTTACCACAAATAGAAACTTCTAAAGGATTGCCAACCTCAGTAACAAACAGAGAGCGGATCTATAAAAGAAAATGATATTTATTTGAGAAGGACATTGCAATGGGAACACACGTACTATAGTAAAGTATGTGCATGTTCTGGGGGTAAAGGAAGGCAAACGTTTTAAAGGAAAAGGAAAGAAGGATTACATAATTGTTTTAAGATAATAATCTTTGGCTAGAAGGATCAATAACAAGGGTGACACCAATCCGAGGGTAGATAAGCAATCACTGAGCAGATGTCCTCACAGAAGTAGTAGTTTGTTTAAGGTTGTGAATGGCCTTTGTGCAAGGTTGTGGGTTTTGCAGTCTTTGGTGACCGATTTTTTATCAGACATTTATGCATGCGAACCCTCCTGTCATGGCCTCCCCAGCTCTATTTGTCAGGGTTTTAAAACACAAATGACTCCATTTTGATTCTGGTAACTTTCATTTCCCTCACTTGATCAAGATCAGTGCTGTATAATTTTGTAGTTAGGTTTTGATGTCTCTTGATAGCAGGATGGACCTGTCCTGGCTGCTGGTCTGGTCCCATATCGGAGGAAATGGACAGTGATTAGAAGTCAGTGTCAGAACCCTTTTAGGCACTTTTAAACAATAAGGGATGTTTAAACAGGTGGCTCTCAGGCTAAGTCTACCTGGAGTTCATTATTATGTTTAATTTTGTCACTTCGTAGGCATTCGTTATCATCTCAAAGTGCTGGGCTAGCTTATTCTCTTAGGAGTTGTACTCTGCAAAAATTTATGTCTGCAAAAAACTATGTCTTGTTATGGCATCAGGCACTTTGGTGAACTTTTTCTATGACCCATACATCAGGCATGATATTTGTTTCTTAACACATTAACTGCCATGTGAGTTATATTTAACTCACGCTAGT